ATTCTGAAGATCCAACATGGGTAGCTGCATTTCATGTTCAATACCTTCTCCACTTGCTACAAAAGTGCCTCATCCCAGTGAAAGATGACCTGGGTTTTCTTATTCATACCTTTGCACTTCCCACATGGGCTACAACACTGAAATGAAACTGGCCTTGAAGTTTTCAACCCCTCCCTGAGAACTAGATCTGGTTTTGAGTGCTGCACGGCCTCTATGATGTAACAGGTCGGACACACTCAGACTTCATTTCCAGACCAAGTCTGATGAGAGTAGATCTTCACAACCCTGGCTCAAAATAGCTACTTCTAGAACCTCCATCTAAATTAAACATCCAGACAAAACTAATAACTACGATCTTCTAGCATGCTTGAAGATCTCAATAATGATGAAACTGAGCCCCAGAAAAAGGCTATTTTGAGGTATAACTGCACATCACAGAAATAGTTTCCAGGAAATTACTTAAGGACGAGACCTACTGCTTTCAGTTAGGACAAGGAGCAGCATAACTTAGAAAGCCACTGCAGCTTGCTGAGTCTCACTCCTCCTTACACTACTCCATGCAGCTGTTGGGCTCCTGAAATACTAAGTCATAAAACATGATCACAAAGATGTCAGATGCCTTGGAATGCAGATGCCCAAGACTGCATTGCAGCTGTCTGTGTATCCTTCTGCCTGTTGGTGGCTGTATTTGTCAAGCAGAGTGGAAGAAAAGACCTTAAATCTTTCTATAAGTGCTAAAAATCCAAGGAAACCTTTACAGAAGTTTACTGTTACCTCAGATCAGCTAACACCAAATGTTCTTGCAAAAAACACACCCAACTAGATCAGGCTTCTTCCATGACTCTCTAGGGCCTGTTTGAGTTTTTTTTTATTTTATTTTTTAAACTTCACATATATTTTTGACCTTTGTAAGATTAAGTGGCAACAAGTCCAATATCTGAACAGACAACACAAGAAAAAAAAAAAATAGCACTTCTTCAAGATCAGGCAACTCTGGAACAACTGTATGTGATCCAGTAGCAACTCCTTTTTCTTCTTCTGACCTGAGATGTGACTTAGAGGTGGTTACTTTCTTACTACTGCTAGTTCTAATCTTCCCTAAACACATTTGGGTGGGAAGAAGGTGCAGCATGAGACAGAACAGACTGCATGTAGTATTTGATTTCTCTTTACTATTACTACAGTGAAACAATTTTAGCAAAACTGTTTCTTGAAACAGTTCTTGTTTCCAAGTTAACTGGAAGGGAAGTAAGAGTTCCTAAAAAATCTTTAAAAAGAGACAATATGAATGAGAATGCACAACTACAACACAGATAATTTCTCTGAACACGTGTCCAGACACACGTAGTGTACCAGAAAGGTGACTGAAGACCAAAGAAGGTTATTTCTCTTAGGAGAAAAATGCATGTGGCTCAGCAAGGCCAACAGGGACCTGCTGGAGCAGGGCCAGAGGAGCCCCAGCAAGGACCCGAGGGGGGAACCCCTCTGCTGGGAGCCCAGCAGGAGAGAGTTGGGCTTGGGCAGCCTGCAGAAGAGAAGGCTCCAGCTGGGGAGACCTTCTGGGGGCCTGACAGGACTTCCAGGGGGTTTATTATAAAGAAAGATGGGGGCAGACTTTTTTAGCAGGGCCTGTTGGAAAAGGACAAGGGAGGATGGTTTGAAACTCAAAGAGGGAGATTTAGAGTAGAGAGAAGAGAGAAATGTTTGACACTGAGCATAGTGAGCCCCTGGCCCAGTTTGCCCAGAGAGGTGGTCACTGATGGGGGGTTCCATCCCTGGAACCATTCCAGGTGAGGCTGGACAACACTCTGAGCAACCTGCTCTAGTTGCAGATGTCCCTGCTCCCTGCAGGGGCTGGCTTCAATGACCAGTAGATGGCCCTTCCAATCCAAAACATCCTGTGATTCTATGAATACAAGAAGGGAGCAATTACTGAATAGATTATAAACAGTAAGATCTCTACAGTTAAAGCTGACCATATATTCTGTTACTGGCAGGTACTCTAGACCCCATTTTACCTTCAGTAATGTGACCAGACAAGTGGCACCTTCTCACCACACCTCATACCTTCTATACTCTTAAGTTCCACTGTAACAGTAACTGCAGCAGAAAATTGAATACAAGAACACTGAGATATAAGTGACCTGGATCATCCAAGGAAACAAATCTGAAATTGATAAAATATTTCCCAAACACAACTTACATTCTGAAAGCTTTCAAAATATTAACCAGCTTATTGTAAGGGCTTTAAAAAGGTGGTAAAGAAAGCTAAAAGTGAAATACCAATTATACAGTGTAACATTAAAACCAAACACATGTACTTATCAAGCTGCTCTCAGGTAAAAACAGCAGCTATTACCCCAAAGCACAATTTTTTGAAGCTCTTAATACAGATCTCAGGGCAACCCTGCAGTCCAAAAAAAAGGTATGAAGCCAAGTAAAATGTTGAACATAGTCAGTAATCTTGATGCTGTGTGTTATGGTAAAGACTGAGCGCAGAGGAAACCTCACTGTAATTACTCAATAGTTTATCTTGGAGCTTGGAAAGCTGCTGAAGGACAGGTGACTGAAATAAAGAACTTTAATAATGCCTGTTAATTGCTACATTCAATTCTATTCAGAGCAGGTGAGAAACATGAGCTATTCGTTTAGAAAGAAAACTGCAAGTTGAGACATTTGAGGTTTTCTATAGCAACCACAGTCCCTGGAGAGCTGGTAGGATTGACTCTGGGAAGAGAAGATCTCAGGCAGGAGCTAATCCTGAAACAATCTTGCAGAACACAGGTAAATGGCCCAATAGGGATTCAGATACTTAGCTAAACTTTCTCCTTTTCAGAAATCTATTGTGAAATAAAGCATTAAGTCATGAGGGTTTGGAAGGCTACAGCCTGAAGGATTAAACCTTCCAATCTGTCTCAGACAACAGGAAATTGTTTTAATCTTTATACACCCACACACAGGCAGCTCTGCTCTGCAGAAATTTGTTTTCCAGATAAAATGTCCTAGTTTGCTACCCTTCTGAAAGGGATGTACAGGAAGGAGCATGATTATACGCTTAGAGGACTAAACTGAAGCAAACCAGATTAATGTTCTATGAAGTTACCAGGGAAGTGTTTGGACAAGTCATTAAAATGGTATCAAAATTAATTTGCAAGACATAATTACATAGTTATTTTTTATTGTGTCACAATAGGAAGACCTCGGTGAGTTTAATTCTTAAGGCAAGCTAGCTCTGCTGTCCTTCCAACAATCCCAGAGCTTCAAGGAGAAATCAGACACTCCCAAGCATCCCAGTCCTGTCAGCTACACACCACAAGACCCTTCCATCTTGATTTGGACTATCAGGAGTTAGTGTTAAAATATTATAATGCTTTGACTGCATACTTCCAAAGGGTTTTATCCAGGCTTTGTGTCAACAGAGACATGAATTTCCACAAATTCATTTCCCCTCAGCCACTTCCTTTGCTCCTATGAAAGACTGAAGTTTCTGGGGTTCCATGCTGAACCTTGCAGCCATCCACATGTGTAGGGGATCAGCAGAACATCTGCCCTCCTGCAGCTGGTCAGCCTTGCATTCCTTCAAGCTCTGTGGTTGCAGGCTACAAAACGAAGCTTAACCAGTAATTATCACTATTTCCCTATAAGAGCACACAGGTGCAAAGACTGGGAAGACAGGCAATGTGCCAAAATGCAGGAGAAATTCAGAGAGTGAATTTAAGGACAGCAAGATAGCTTCCTACTAGCACAACAACAATACTGTAGCTACATGTTGAATGACAATGATTATTAATGAAAAAAGACTTTAACTAATATTCTAGGAAACCTCTGGTACTAGCCCAGGCTGGGGGTGAAGAGCTGGAAAGCAGCCCTGGGGAGAAGGCCCTGGGGGGCTGGGGGTGAGGAGCTGCTCAGGTTGGCTTCTCGGCTGTCCCCCCAGCAGCATGGGCAGCAGGACAGGGAGGGGATCCTGCCCCTCTGCCCCACTCTGGGGAGACCCCCCTGCAGTGCTGGGGCAGCTCTGGAGTCCTCAGCACAGCAGAGACAGGGACCTGCTGGAGGGGGGCGAGAGGAGCCCCAGCAAGGACCCGAGGGGGGAACCCCTCTGCTGGGAGCCCAGCAGGAGAAAGTTGGGCTTGGGCAGCCTGCAGAGGAGAAGGCTCCAGCTGGGGAGACCTTCTGGTGGCATCTCAGGACTTCCAGGGGCCTGTCAGAAAGCTGGGGAGGGACTTTTTAGCAGGGCCTGTTGTGACAGGACAAGGGGGATGGATTTTAACTAGAAGAGGGAGATTGAGACTGGAGAGAAGGAAGAAATGTTTTCTGCTGAGAGTGGCAAGAATCTGGCCCAGATTGTCCAGAGAGGTGGTCACTGCCCCATCCCTGGAACCATTCCAGGTGAGGCTGGCCGGGGCTCTGAGCAACCTGCTCTAGTTGCAGATGTCCCTGCTCCCTGCAGGGGGGTTAGGCCAAATGATCTTGAAAGTTCCCTTCCAACCCAAAGCTTTCTGTCGTTCTCTACTAAGATGATTAATAGATAACAGCTTACAGTGATCTTTTTCAGACAATTAAAGTCCTCTGCATTAAAGAAAGCTATTTATTTTCTCACATTCGCCAAGCAGTACTTCTGTACAGGCAGGAACTCCTCCATGAAACTACACTTGCTATGTGCAGTTTATTCCCACAGTCAGCAGCAAAATATGAAAGGCAAATTTTCCCACCAGCAGCCACAACTTTCACATACGACACAGTATTTAAGCTTTTATAGCATTATTAGACTACGAATCAATAGTCAGCAGACCTAGAATGACAAAGCTGAACAATTCCATTTATCACAGAATTCCAAGCAGAGAAACTCCAACAACAGTCCCACAGCTATGGGAAGAAGTAGCAGATAACTTCAAACTCCGTGTCACTTCCCACTACCCAAGAGGGTTCAAGGTGGGTATTTTTGCTCTCGTTGTGGGTTTACTGTTGTGAAGAAAGCACGTTCATGACATACTCACTCTCGCTCTTTCTCCGTCAGTTTGTCGTTGATGTTGTCCTTGATGGTGGAGCGGGAGCCCTTGTGAATGATAGGATACCTGAGTGGCACTTGTAAGAAGTAGGATATCATTGAAACCAAGTGAGCAGTGTAGCCCAGGGCAACAGCAATGCTTCCATCATCTTTCCCTGGCAACAACAAAAAGATCCCATTATTTAATCCATTGGATCTTGCCGCAGGTTCGTGCTTATGTCTTAGGGAATGATATAATTAATAAACGATCAGTTTTAACTTCATAACAGGGCAAGTCGGAGGGAAATTTGGACTGTACTACAGTTTTTTTACAGTTCACTGTATCTGGCTCTTTCATTAAAAGGCAACATAAAATGGGTGATGGGTTGTTCTTCCTCCAATTTTACACTTTCAAAGCTAAAAGTTACTCTCCTAAACATTTGGAGGGTAAAGAAGAGATGGGAAAAGTGAGACAAAGTATCCAAGACAAAATTCAAGTCTTAAGCTTTCTGCATTTCTCTGGATGTAGCTGACATGTATGAGCAGGGTCAGGGAAAAGCTGCATTCCTCCATAACTTTATTCACTAGTGAGATCAGCTGGAGAGGTGCCACCCCCAGGGTATGAACTCTGTTCTCTGCCAGGAACTGGAAGAACTTTAACCCACTGTTTGAAAGTATCATTTGCATTTTGACATTTAGGATTTCAACCTTAAAGCTTCACCTGCTGGGAATACACACGGGTCTTGTGATTCAACTGACATCCTCTACCAGCTAAAGGGCAAATTTTCCTTTCTGCTTTCTCTGGTTTTCTTCCTCATAATACAACATTTCTAGAGTCTTTGGTAAAGAATTAGTAATTCTTTTTTAAGTAATTAATACCAGTAAACTGAAAATGGGCCAAGAGATGCATGCCACTGATTTCTCCAGAATTCCCAAACTGAGTTCATTACCACACTTAGTGCCATCAGGAAAGCAAAGCAGTAGACTGATTTTTGTCATATTGACAAATGAGATTTACAGATTATTCCTCCATTATTCTAGCACCCAATACACACTGATAGCACAAGTTAATTCCTCTGGGATGGCTTCAAAGAGTTGACAATCAGTTGAGGTTTTTGCCCAATAAACCACATGCCTTGCAGACTGAGCTAGCACTGGGAGCAAGAAATTCTCAGGGGGATTTCAAAGAAGTGCCAATTCCTGTCAAACATTTGTAGATGACTGCATGCAGCTACCTGGCACAGCAGTTACACACAGATATACCAAATATTGGCTTCTACAATAAGGGATGACTGTGGATAGTTAAGCAGAAGCTGAGTTGCAAAATACTCCACACTGGAGTAAAGTACTCCATATTGTCAGGCAGCTTTGAAGTCTTACTTAGGCAAGGTATTCATCTAGTGAGTTCACCAGCAACTACAGCAAACCCAGTTAGGACTCCTGTATGTTACCCCACCAAGACTGATTGGCTGCAAGTAGCCACAATGGAATTTTAGGTCAGGTACAAATATTTTCCAGAATCACAAAGTCTGGAAGGCACCTCTGGGAATGGCATAGTCCTAGAGTGCTGCTCAGAGCAGGGTGAGCCACAGCAGGTTGCCCAGGACTGCGTCCAGTTGGGTTTGGAGCATCCCCAAGGATGGAGAGTCCACAGCCTGCTGGGTAACCTGTTCCAGCATTCCAGAATTGACTCTTAGAATATTGAGGCGCTTTTCTTAGACTCAACAATAACTTCATCCTTACCAGCTAATAAGTAGGAATAAACAGTGAATAAATTTTCTTCTAGATTAGACCTTTCCAGTAAAAAATTTGGATCCCAAGCCATTGCTATTGGTTCACTTAATTTTAGGAAGTTTAGAAGCAGTGTCAACTGTAACAATTAAGAAAATCCAGCTACCTTGAAAGTCTTCAGAATTAGGAAGCTTGATTCCACAAACAAAGTGATCCTTTTGATCATTCTGTAAGTTTAAAATGAACAATGGAAAGTGAGAATGGAACAAGAACACCCAGAAAATAGAAACATGCACAAAATCTGATGACAACAAAGCACTTTTGTAAAGAAAAAAACTAAATGAAGCTCAGGGTGACTTTGACACAGCTTTTTAGTCCACATGTCATATAATTCAGAAATAAAGGCAACATTTTTAAAGAAGCAAGAGCTTCATATCTTAATCAATTGATCATATAGGTGGGTTTGGAGCTCAATATTTTGACATCTGTTTATGTGCACTCTGTTACAGCTCAGCTAGCCTATTGTCAAGGTTACTTTCTATCCTTGTAAACAAAATGGGGATTATCCATTAAATCCCAGTTTCACCTATTCAAATTTGATAGCGGAGACTATCTGAGAGATGCTGGCATAAGTCCTCTCCACATGAGGTCTCCAGTCTAAGGACCAAATCCAAGAAAAAGCTGGGAAAAACAGCATAAATGAAGGGCAAGTTTCAGAGCAAGATGAAGAGCAAGAATACGGTAATAGCCTGGAAGTTCATTTCACATCAAGCAGCTCAAGAATGTTGAAAACATACCAGATCAATAGGGTAGATATAGGAGAGCTCTGACAGCAACTGCTGGCATCGAACAGACTGCTGGGTACTTGTCTTCGAAAACAGTTCTCTTTGGGGAAAAAGTGTCTTTAGAAGCTTTAAGTAAAGGTACCATGCCCTCATGTCCCTTCTGCATCTCTCCCAAGTATCATCTCCCCTCCCCAAAATGCTAATTCATTCTACAACCAAAAAAAAAAAACCAAAACCAGAAGAAAAAGCTCACTTCTCATTTGCAGTTGTACCTCATATTAGAGGCATATTTTGACTATGACAATGAAATATTAACAAAGCTGTGTTACACTAAAATAGAACTAAAAGTCCTATTATAGTCTACATATGCAACCAAGCATCTGTTTTCTTCTCTTCTAGACTTGCCACTGTATATTATCACTTCAGATATCTGCAAATTGTAGCAGAGATGTCCTAACAGAAGTTTTGGGGTGACATTAGGAAGAATTTGGTGCCAGGAGTCCCACTCTCAAGCCTGTATTTCCTTTCAAACTGCAGAAAAAGTGTAGCTCCATTTACCTCTTATCAGTGCATTCCTTTCTTAACTCATGCAGACATTCATTATGCTCTTGAAGTTTCTGGTATTCACTCTCAAATGCATTTTCTAAACAAAGAATCAGGAAAAAAAAATAGTATAAAATATTTTTTACTTATCTGAAGTGTTAAAAGTAGATGCTGACACAAATGTTAGCAATGATCCTTCATTTACTCTTAGATGCCCATCTTCCACGTTATGCTGCCAAACTGGGGAACAACAGTGCAGGAGGATCACAAGTCTGTAAACCACCCAAATACAACCACAAACGTCATTTCCTCTTTAACACCTCCTCCTCTCACATCCACAGTAGTGGAGTAATTCAGTTAAGGCACATCACTAACTGCATAGCTAGAATTAAGTAAATAGCAGAAACTTCATTTCTAGCAGTAATTATTTTGGACTCAAGTATTAAAAAAAAGAAATAAAGTCCTGCAACAAGATCAAGCATCCATGTAGTTTGGTCTCTGGTGAGCTGCAAAGAGACAGCAGTGTAGCATTTTTTACTAGAGGACACTTTCCCAGGAAAATAAATATCAAGAAGATAGAGCATTTCACCTTTCACTTACATAATAAGCTATTAAAAGGGATTTTTGTCTCCTAACACTTAAAATGGAATCCTAGTATCAGATATAATAACATCCCTCATGAAGTCATAATGTGCCTGCCCCAAGCCACTGTTTACTGCATTACAGTGCACGACATTCTCATTTCCTACACAAGCTTAATGAAGCACTGATTTAAGATGGCTTTTAGAGAGGTGTCATAGTAAGAAGTTCTTTAGAGACAGGATATAAAAAACTGCTGTCCAGAATTCAGTATAAAACAGACGGTGAAAAGATTACATCTGGCTGCAAGCTTCAGATAAGGAAAAACACAAGCACATTAGAGCCAAACAACAGCAGCAACAACAACAAAAAAAAAACCCCACATAACACAAACCAGCACCTTCATTTTGGTCATGATGATCATAAACTTGGCCCCTGCTCTCCTGGATCAGCAGATTATGAACACCTGCCATGGAAGCAAGAGTGTTTCCACACTTACCTCTGTCATGCAAAGTACTTTTTTCCTTATGCAACAAGGCTACTTCTTGACCAAGGGCTTTCTTCTGCCTCTCCAGTTCATTACGTAGCACCAGGATCTTCAACTGTAAACATTCACTCTCTTTTTTCTATTGAAAGAAAAACAGATTTGAAAATTAATAAATAAGGTTTTCTGCACATAAGCAGTTTTGTAAAAGGGGTGGTAGGAGAGAAGGGACAAAAACAGGACAAGACTAAGGTCTGCCAGACTAAAGACTGGCTTCATAGGCTACCGCAGGCAATAGAATATCAAAAACCCAAATTCTTTTGCTGCTTTGAAAGGAGAGAAACTCAGCTGTGTCCTACAGTGCTCATTCCTCCTTTGAGATGTGTCTCCTCTCCTGTGCTCAGCGATGCAACCTGGCCCAGGGCAGAAATCAAGAGAGGAAGGAGGTAGGATAACACCATGAGGGAAGATAAGCAACAAGAAGTCTAGGCTCAAGTGAGGCAGGGAGCTGGAAGAAGGTTGGAGATGTCCACGCTGCACTACGAGATCCAATTCCCACCTTTAAGGTGCTGAGAGAAAAAGAAGGATACAAAAGGAAAGGGGGCTGGATGATGGCATTACACAAATTATATTTGAAGGTTCCTTTCTTTAAAAGGCTTAGGATTTGTCCTGTACCTACACTAAATCTATTCCTGTGTTTAAGAAGAATGTTTTTTCCTTCAAGGCACTATCTTCGCCAAGAACTTGTGCTGCCATGTGCACAGTGAAGGAGAATTCTCTATTATAACCGAGTTTTTTGTTTTGTTTTAAAGAATATCTATCATGTTTAATAACTACTTATTGAGAACAACTGAAGTTGTAACTTCTCCATTTTACATCTCATCAGTCCAGTCACACCCCTGCCCAAATTCCAAGCCTGAATGAGCAGTCGAACTCCTGAGTCTTGTGCAAGCCCGACCAGACACTGTCACCTTGTGTAACTCCACCAGCTTTCACTTTTTTGAGCAGTTAATGAAGATAATTTTCATGCAGCTAGTGCTGGTGTAACAATTGTCAGCTCTCAATGAACTCTTCCTTGCACTTCATATGTTTCAATTACACATGTCCACTCACCCTTCTAGTTCCAGACTGCAGCAGGAAACATGACTCAAACTGGTACACAGGAAGTTCCATCTGAACAAGAGGAAAAGCTTTTTGCTGTGAAGGTGCCAGAGAGGCTGTGGAGTCTCCTTCCCTGCAGAGATTCCAAGCCCACCTGGATGTGACCATGGGCGCCCTGCTGTGGGTGACCTGCTGGAGCAGGGGGGTTGGAAGAGATGATCTCCAGAGGTCACTTCCAACCCTTACCATGCCAGGATTCTGTGACTCAGGATTAAGAATGAATCTATAGTTCACACAAAGGGGAATTGGAAGCCCAACAAGAGCTTCCACTACTGCCATAGACCACGGTTCCTAAGATGTCGCATCATGTGTATGATCACTATTTTTTGGGGTTCAGTGTTCTTCATATAGTTTTGCTTGGAAGTATTTACAGAGGAAAAGCCTTTGCCTAGAGGGACAAGGATATCCCTAACCAAAAAAGACGGACCTCCCCAGCCCAGAGGAGGTCAAGAAGGTGATCAGAGGGCTCGAGCACTTCTGCTGTGAGGACGGGCTGAGAGAGTTCAACCTGGAGAAGGCTCCAGGGAGGCCTTATTGCAACCTTCCAGTACTTACAAGGCCCTACAAGAAAAATGGAAAGGAACTCTTTTGTCAGGGAGTGCAGTGATAGGATGAGAGGCAATTGTTTCATACTGAGAGAGGGGAGATTTAGCTTAGATATTAGGAAGAAATTCTGTGAAAGTGGTGAGACACTGGCACAGGCTGCCCAGAGAAACTGTGGATGTTCCATCACCTGGAGGCGTTCAGTGCCAGGTTGGATGGGGCACTGAGCAGCCTGGTCTAGTGGGAGGTGTCCCTGCCCATGGCAGGGGGGTTGGATTATCTTGAAGGTCCCTTCTAGCCCAAACCATTCTATGACTGAAAAAAACTTTTAGCCACCAAGATACCAGCAGAAGGCAAGGAACCTCTGGGTTGGTGTCACTCAGATGTTACATTGCCATTAAGCAGGTTGACTTCTTTGCTTCTTTGTCTACCATACAATCCTGCAATTAGAGCAGGTAAACAAACTCATTTCTCTGCTTTGTCAAACCCTTAAACCAGTTTGACACTTTTGGAAATGAGCTGTGTACTCTCAGCCCAGAACATACTTTACAGCGACAGGGTAAGGTCACACCACAGGCTGCCCTTCCCTGTACAGGGCATCAGACACGTGCCAGTGAGCACCAAGATAATGAAATCACCACCAGCCACTCTTGTTCTGCCACCTCACTGCTTTGAGCTGAGCTCAGCCTTCACAGGCAGAAAGCAGAAACCAGTGTATGCATACTTTTTTGGAGAGGGGAAGAGGAAAGGCAAAACAAACTGTCAAAAGCTATTGCAAGATCTAACATAATTTCTGCTTAAAATGAACGTTTCACTTGAGTGACAGCTTTTGCATGAATTCTATTCACCCAAAGGGAGTAGGGTGCAAGAAGATACAACCAGTAGACTCACCTCACTCTAAATCCACCACAGGTTTCTGTCAAGATTTATCTAAATCACTAAAAGTTTGTTTTTCCTGATAAACCTCTTTCATGCACATTTATGCTTATATAGCCTAAAACAATTATACAAAACAAAGGTAAAAAAAGGATAAGCAATTCATTCAAGCAACACATAAATCTAAAATCTGTTACGTTATGCTTCTCAGATGGGTCCCCATTGGAAACGACACATTTAAATAAAGATTTCAAGTTCAAGTGTTAAAAAAACAATGGTTTTTTAACCATGGGTTAAAACTTTAGCAAGCCTGCAGAATATGGTTTGAAATAATGCAACTTACCAGTTCGTTGCTTGTAGATGTACATCTCAGCTTTTCTTCTATCTCCCTTCCTATTTTCTGAACGGTTACCTGAGTCTGTTTAATTGCACACTGGGCTCTGTGAAGCCTGGAAGGAGAAGAGAAGTTAGAGTTCAAGTAAAGGTTCCTCCACGTGTGTCCTAATGACGAATGTTCCAGCCGCCTCCACACCAGCAGCAGCTGTAGGATTTGGGATCATCAGCTCCTGTTTTGAAAGGTAACATTAAAAGAGGAATCAGAACTAGAAGGGTTTAGAAATGATCCAAAGCAAACCAGCAAGTCTTGAAATACCATCAAGTACCGAAGTTTTCATTTATTCAAGTCAACAGATACCGCTAAGGCAAAGCTGTAGGTGAGAGATGTAATAACAGGGACATCATGTAACAATTAAATTATAACACAATTGAGTTATAATTACAAGACAGATACACACAGGACAGTTACCTTGAGCATTAGTAACATAGGCCAGCATCAAAAAAATGCAGTAATTAGATAACCCACAGGTACCAAGGCTAAGAGCACGAAACACTCTCCAGTAACCCCACATACACCATGGGCCCTTTGGTAACAAACCCACGAGTTCAACTGAGTCATCTTGCCTTAATGATTCTATAATTCTCTGAAGCGTGAAGAGACAATGATTATGTCTTTCTGATCATTAGCCCTGGCTTCATGGTGAAGAGGGAAAACTGATTATTTGCTGTATTTATTGGAAAAAAAAATCAGGCAAGCACAAAAAGAGATCTAAGAAAGGCATTAACATCTTTAAAATTAAGAGGGGGGGAAATTAATGTATTTATTAGACAAAATGAGGGTGGGTCTGCAGACAACTCATGGCTTCTAAGGCATGCAAACCCAGGCTTACTCTTCCCATCCCAAGTATCACTATTAATGGCTTCTCCTTTTTTAAGGACATTCTTCAGGCAGCCTTGCTGCTGGGAGAAGCACTCAGTGAAGGTATCTGAACACGTTTTTTGCTATTCTGTCATGAATCTGCTGTAGGACACGAGTGCTTTGCAAAATGCAAACCTAACAAGAAGTCCAAACCTGCTTCACTGCATGCTATAATGACCAGCTCTGCTTTACCAAAATTTAAAGTCACTGTCTCTTCAGTGTTATAATTTAAAGTCTTTCTCCAACATCTTCTAACTGCCTGTATGCTGCTGTAGTTAACCATAACTGGACACTATACTCCAGAAGTGGCCTCCCTAACGCAGAGCGGAGGGGCAGGAGAACCTCCCTCGACCTACTGCCCACACTCCTCTTAATGCACCCCAGACCACTGGCCTTCTTGGCCACGAGGGCCCATTGCTGGCTCACGCTGAACTTGTCCCCCAGCACTCCCAGGTCCTTCTGCTGGAAAGCAGCTCAGTGGAGGTCAACCCCTCAGCTGTCCTGGTGCAGGGGGTTATTCCCCCCTAGGTGCTGGTCCCTACACTTGTCCATGTTGAACTTCGTTAGGTTGCTCTGTGCCCAAGTCTCCAGCCTCGCTGAGTGACAGCACAGCCTCGTGGTGTATCATAAAGAAAAGTCCTTGTGGTATAACAGCAAACAAAAAAGTCTACTAAGTGATTCCTTTGTTTTGTCAGAGCTCCTCAGACTGCTCACAGCACACACAGCCTGGCAGCTTTTTGGTAGCTGCTGTAGGATGATCCACATGGGCACCAAGAAGCATAGCTCTGCTGGCTGCTAAGGGCTCCATGGGGTGGAAGAAGACCGTTGAGGCCAACAGTGCTGGGTGTTGGGTCACCCAAGGGTTTGATCTCACAGCCCCAGCGGGGTACTGAGACCTCTTGGCACCACATATTTTCTACCAAAAAACACTACTCACACCACCTCCCACCTTCCCAAACACATCTTGAGGCTGTTGGCTGTGTAATATATGGTGGCACAGGTCAAAGCCAAGGTTTGCTGACCGACCTGAACATTATTCAGAGCTCTGCTGTCGCATCATATAGCAGGGTCTAAGTTTCCTACTAAGTTTCCAGCCTGCCTCTTTTCCAAAAGTCTGGAATGCTTTCTTTCCAGACATAAGAAGGCCTTACTCAAAGCTAAAACTTATAGGTAGGGAGTAGTAATTGAGTGACATTTCCCTTTCCTCTTCATCTCATTTTATACTGGAAGAACATTCTTCATTTTGCCTGTTAGGGGATTAAGAACAAAGTTTTACAAGTTTTCACATCAGGCCATTTAGGTAGCAAAATCTGACTGCTGAGAAGCGTTTTACTCATCAAAACAGCATTTATGTTAATAAATTGTTAGAAGGGTCATTTGCCCTGTGAGTTCCTTCCAGCGATTTGATCAATACCCAGCTATTGACCCACAAATTCTGTAGCAGCTTCAGGTTCTTCTACACACACCCAAGCATAAGGAACAAACATTGATTCAGACTGACTTCTTCAGCTAGCACATACTGTAGAATAAACAAGGGTTCTTGCTCAACAGCAGGGTTATAGGATTACAACAGATGAATCCTTCAATCTGGTAAATCTATAAATTATATTCATAACCTGTAGAGACTGCTACACAACAATTCAGCAATCAAGCCTGCTTTTAATAAGAAATTTTCTTATAAGCCAATATCATCCAGTCATTTCTTGCACTATAAAATAAGCCTACAGTTAAACTTGGCTGCCTTGATGCCAAATTATGCCATTTATATTGCAAGATACAAAACCTACTGATACTGCTTGACTCAGTCCCACTATATTCCCTGTTGTTCCAAGAACTTTAAAATGCTAACAAGACCATGACCACATCCAAAGTTAAACCTTCCAAGATTAAAATTTTTAGGGACTTCGTGTCACACGAGCAGCAACTATCAACAGAAATCTTTCTCCCTCAGCCAAAAAAAAGCCCCCACTGCACCCACATGGAAATCATTGGTCATCCAACAACGGGAACAGAAACTAAGCCTTAAGAACATCAGCATGGGAATTTTGTGCACCATTTCTGCATGCACAGGACTTCAGTGGAGGCAATTATGATGGCACCATGGAATGAAGATCAGCAAGATGAGGCCATAAATCTGGATTAAAATCATATATATAATGAATGGAGAGAAACCTCAATGCTAATTGACCACATACTGTTTCCATTTCTAGTTTGAATGCAAGTCCAAGGCTGCAACCTAAAGTTAGCACAATTTGTGCTTTAAGTACAATCCGACTTAGTTTAGTCAATGCCAACAATGAGCCAACCGATGGTATAATCTACATGCTACCAGCCAATACAGGATTCTTCCTCGATCCTTCAAGAAGGCTTTAATTATTTCTTTTTATTAACATTAGCACTTCCATAGCACTTTAAGAGCTAATTCAGGGTTTCAAGAGGCCACTGGCCTGCTACCAAATTTCCTTCGGCGGTCGGGAAAGCCAAGCTGGTTCCAGCAGAAACTCAGGGCTTTCTGAAGAGGCAGCTGAGCCAACAGTGTCGTCATCCTGCGTCTGCAGGCTGCCCTGGTGTCTCTGCAGCAGCTCACGGCCACTGTCAGCCAGCAGCAGAGTCACAGGAACGTTTAGGGTGACAGATTTACTGCTGTTGCTTGGGGCCTGGAGAGCTGCTGTGCAATTGTCCAACGTCAAGCGAGTTGAGTGCTGCTGCCTGGGAAAGAGCTGGAAAGCAAACCAGACCCTAGAATTCCTTTCCACCCTAATAGAGTTTGGAGGCGGAAAGCCATGAAGCTCTTGTTCTACTGCCATTCTCCTCTTGCCTGCTTTCTAGGGTGAGGGTGCTTAAGAGGAAACAAAATACTCTCCTCTCCTTTCGAAGTTTAAAAGTCAGAGGGATAGATACAAAAGTATTAGCCACGTCCTGCAAACTAAGCCCAACAAAAGCCACATCCTTAATTGATCTAGGAAGAACAAGCAGCAAAAATCCCATATCTCTCCCCTGTACTCGCTGCTTCCCATGTTGCTGAAATACAGACAATCAGGGGTATTTCTTCAAGGCTTTTCAAATCTGACATAAAATTGTCTGGTTTCCCACTCCTCAAGAAAAAAAAAAAAAAAAACAATGCCACGACTTTCTACCTGGGCTGTAAGATTTGAAACAATTCTAGTCTACGCTGTTCTACCAATCAATTCAACTTGAGTACTGACATGGGGGGGTGAAGTTGCTAAGTTTTGGACTCCTTCAACACGACAGGATTCCTCTGCAATAACATCCTTACATTGTTCACAAGATCAAGCAGTTTTCTTGACTTCTCAACACTGCACAACTCAGTGGGCCAAGATAACCTGACTTTACAACTCCGGAATGTGCTGCGGCAACACATCTGCTCCCTTCCAGCTTGCAGTAAGTTGGAGGCAACGTCTGAGGGTTCAGCTGAAGCACTTGCCTCTAAGACACGCTGCAGTATCCTGCAACAGAGATATCCCTCTTGGTCAGGAATCAGCCTGGTGATTTACTAGTTTATACAGCAAGTTCCTGGCTGCAAGCTGGAACGAACTGAAAGCTGGAGTGTAGTGACAGTTGTGCTTGTTAAGCTTACATATGCTTATGTTTACATTAAAGAGCCTCAACTTTATTAGACATTTGATACACAATTTTGTAGTTCTATCATACACTCCAAATATCTATTTGCTCCTATCAGACGCATCTGGATTTTTCACGTGTAGAAATTTGAGCCATAAATACATCAATTAATTACAGCAGTCACATACTACAGCTACTCCTCACAAGAGAAATAAGTGCCTATGGTCTTATTTGCCAGAACAACCTTAGTTTACAATGAGACTAAATTTAAACTAAGAATTACTACCAGAGATTTAGAAAATAGAACGCTTTTGGCAATAAGTGAAATGTAGGATCCTGGAAGTAAAATACCCAAACCTATCATTAAGGAAAAAAATAAGCCAAGATTTTCCTATTAAATACAAAAAATGGAACGCACACTACTTTATATCAGTCCAGAAATTAGATTATGGAGGGTGCCAGCCAGCTATAACATATTTTTTACATAGCCCTTTAAACCACCATTTGCTACATCTGCTTTCCCACAAGAAAAATTTTTCTAATTTATAATCATATACTCCCTTTCCCAATTTCCTCAGAAACTTATACCTACAATTTGTCAAAAGCAGATGT